ATGTGCCATCAAAAGAGAATTTGGAATTATCCATTTTTGCTATCCATTGTTGCTAGGAATTGTTAGATGAATTGGATGCAGAAGCAATTATTAGCAAATTCAAACAACTCTCTAGCGAACACAAACAATTGCTCTTAGTATATTAAGTATCTTAGTATATTAAGTATCTTAGTATAATAAGTACCTTAGTATATTAAGTACCTTAGTATATTAAGTATCTTAGTATAATAAGTATATTATTATATTAAGCATCTTTGTATATTAAGTATCTTAGTATAACAAGTATCTTAGTATATTATGTATCAGTACATTAAGTATCTTAGTATAACAAGTATCTTAGTATACGAAGTATTTTAGCATAAGTATCTTAGTATATTAAGTATCTTAGTATATTAAGTATCTTAGTATATTAAGTATCTTAGTGTAATAAGTATATTATTATATTAAGTACCTTATATTAAGTATCTTAGTATAAAAAGTATATTATTATAATAAGCATCTTAGTATATTAAATATCTTAGTATAATAAGTATCTTAGTATATTATGTATCTTAGTATAATAAGTATCTTAGTATAATATCTTAGTATATTAAAGTATTTTAGCATAAGTATCTTAGTATATTAAGTATCTTAGTATAATAAGTATCTTAGTATATTAAGTATCTTAGTGTAATAAGTATATTATTATATTAAGTATCTTAGTATATTAAGTATCTTAGTATAACAAGTATCTTAGTATATTATGTATCTTTGTATATTAAGTATCTTAGTATAACAAGTATCTTAGTATATTATGTATCAGTACATTAAAAGTATCTTAATATAACAAGTATCTTAGTATACAAGTTTTTAGCATAAGTATCTTAGTATATTAAGTATCTTAGTATATTAAGTATCTTAGTCCTTATTATATTAAGTAATATTAAGTATCTTAGTATAACAAGTATCTTAGTATATTATGTATCAGTACATTAAGTATCTTAGTATAACAAGTATCTTAGTATACGAAGTATTTTTAGCATAAATATCTTAGTATATTAAGTATCTTAGTATATTAAGTATCTTAGTATAATAAGTATATAATATATTAAACAAGAATCTTAGTATATTAAGTATCTTAGTGTAATAAGTATATTATTATATTAAGTATCTTTAGTATATTAAGTATCTTAGTATAACAAGTATCTTAGTATATTATGTATCAGTACATTAAGTATCTTAGTATAACAAGTATCTTAGTATACAAGTATTTTAGCATAAGTATCTTAGTATATTAAGTATCTTAGTATATTAAGTATCTTAGTGCAATAAGTATATTATTATATTAAGTACCTTAGTATATTAAGTATCTTAGTATAACAAGTATCTTAGTATATTATGTATCAGTACATTAAGTATCTTAGTATAGCAAGTATCTTAGTATACAGTATTTTAGCATAAGTTCTTAGTATATTAATATCTTAGTATATTAAGTATCTTAGTATATTATATCTTGTTAGTATAATAAGTATATTATTATATTAAATAAGTAGTATTAGTCTTAGTATATTAAGTATCTTAGTATAACAAGTATCTTAGTATATGTATCATAATTAAGTATCTTAATATAACAAGTATCTTAGTATATATTTTAAGTATCTTAGTATATTAAGTATCTTAGTATATTAAGTATCTTAGTGTAATAAGTATATTATTATATTATCTTAGTATATTAAGTATCTTAGTATAACAAGTATCTTAGTATATTATGTATCAGTACATTAAGTATTTTAGTATAACAAGTATCTTAGTATATTATGTATCAGTATTTAAGTATCTTAATATAATAAGTATCTTAGTATATTAAGTATTTTAGCATAAGTATCTTAGTATAATAAGTATCTTAGTATATTAAGTATCTTAGTGTAATAAGTATATTATTATATTAAGTACCTTAGTATATTAAGTATCTTAGTATAACAAGTATCTTAGTATATTATGTATCAGTACATTAAGTATCTTAGTATAACAAGTATCTTAGTATACGAAGTATTTTAGCATAAATATCTTAGTATATTAAGTATCTTAGTATATTAAGTATCTTAGTATAATAAGTACCTTAGTATATTAAGTACCTTAGTATATTAAGTATCTTAGTATAATAAGTATATTATTATATTAAGCATCTTAGTATATTAAGTATCTTAGTATAACAAGTATCTTAGTATATTATGTATCAATTGCATTAAGTATTCTAGTATAATAAGTATCTTAGTATACGAAGTATTTTAGCATAAATATCTTAGTATTATAAGTATCTTAGTATATTAAGTATCTTAGTATAATAAGTATCTTAGTATATTAAGTATCTTAGTATAATAAATATCTTAGTATATTAAGTATCTTAGTATAATAAGTATCTTAGTATATTAAGTATCTTAGTATAATAAGTATCTTAGTATAATAAGTATCTTAGTATATTAAGTATCTTAGTATAATAAGTATCTTAGTATAATAAGTATCTTAGTATATTAAGTATCTTAGTATAATAAGTATCTTATATATTAGTATCTTATATATTAAGTATCTTAGTATATTAAGTATCTTAGTATAATAAGTATCTTAGTATAATAAGTACCTTAGTATATTAAGTATCTTAGTATATTAAGTATCTTAGTATAATAAGTACCTTTAGTATATTAAGTACCTTAGTATATTAAGTATCTTAGTATAATAAGTATCTTAGTTTCTAATAAGTATCTTAGTATATTAAGTATCTTAGTATATTAAGTATATTATTATATTAAGTATCTTAGTATATTAAGTATCTTAGTATAATAAGTATCTTAGTATATTAAGTATCTTAGTATAATAAGTATCTTATTATATTAAGCATCTTTTGTATATTAAGTATCTTAGTATAACAAGTATCTTAGTATATTATGTATCATATTAAGTATCTTAGTATAACAAGTATCTTAGTATATTAAGTATTTTAGCATAAGTATGTTAGTATAATAAGTATCTTAGTATAATAAGTATCTTAGTATATTAAGTATCTTAGTATATTAAGTATCTTAGTATATTAGGTATCAGTATATTATGTATGTTAGTATAATAAGTATCTTAGTATATTAAGTATCTTAGTATAATAGAGTATCTTAGTATATTAAGTATCTTAGTATATTTCTCTTAGTATAGTGGATAGCATGTAATTCTCTGTTGTGTCTCTGAATTATCTGTTAATGTGTAAATTGTGCAGTTAACTATTTAAAAACATCAACCAAGTACTTAAAATCAAACAAATAAATATAACATTCGATACTTACGTTTAGTATCTACTGCTAATAATATGTACAGTAAATGTACGCTGTAATTACTAAGAAATACAAATTTTTCTTTGATCCAACAGTATAACAACTAAAATACCTGTTTATCGAACAGGTCCTTTGACGGTGTTCAATTCTATGAGTGGTAGTAATGAAAGCAGCCAGGGTAGCATATTGAATTGCTTAGTGATAAGTTTCTAATTTGTTAATGATAAGTTTTCTAATCCAATAAATATTTCCTTTCATGTTCTGTGCAAGACAAACTACTGCCGTAAATGCAAAAGAGAGAGAGAGAGAGAGAGAGAGAGAGAGGGAGAGAGAGATTAATGACAGCCTATTTGCGAAATGCTTACATTCCAATACATTTACTATTTTTTTCCATATGTATTTTTTGAAAATTTTATTTATTCATTATGAAAATTATATTGTAGTTGTCTCCTGGAAACCAATATTTTTAAACCCAGTCTCTCACTTCATTATAACCTCTTCCTTGTTCCCATTTTCTGTCCATGTTATTCTTAGGAATACGTTGGGTGAATAACAACTCTCTTGTTTCAAGTCTCCTCTTCATCACTGAAGAAACTGACCACTTCTATAAAGCACATTAATTATTGCACCATAGTCCAGCAGAAGTATTTTATTTGATCCAAAGGGCATTTCCAATCCAGTTCGGTTTCTGAAAGACATTTTTCACTATTCCTAGGAATATTCGGATTCTATTTCTCTAGTGTTTCTATAGAGAAGAAAACAGGAAATCACTCCACTATTTTCCTAAGAACCTATGGCAAATCACACATAACAAAGAACATCTTTGGCGAGAATAAAGAATAGAGAGTTGAAACTTCTAGAACACAAATAAGAATGAAGTCTTGTAAGCCTGAACACTCACTATACAGATCAAAACTATGAGTAACAGCGAGAAATTCGAATAAGTGACTAACCTACCTAACGAGATTATGAAAATGAATGGCGTAATAGGGACTGAGAGGGATAGTAAAAGATAAATTTTATAGAATGTGAAGACTGGGCCAGAAAATCCCAAAGCGTAGTGGATTGTCTTTGTCTGCTTTGGATATAAGACCAAAACGGCACCATGACAACAGTATTTCGAAGATTTGAGAAACTAACCAGCACATATTAAAATGCTAAGACACAAAAAACGTTTTATCACCTTCCGCTTCTTCCGGGAATCGTTACTACCACGACTGTCCAGCGTATAATAAAGCGAATATGAAAAAAGAAATCGTTCTTTGTTAATAATGTGGCGTTTGGTTCAGAAGAACTGAAGCCAGTGGCAACCCGGAATTGAACATAAATTTTACTAAAACTAAAAAAGATAGGAAGTTGTTGAAACTTCCTATCACACTTCCTGATGTGTATGTATGTCTATGTGTCTGTGTGTGTGCGTGCACGCGCGTGTGTGTGTAGTCACCGTTGATGTCTGATAGACGTAAATGGACATTTCAGAATCGATGTTCAAAATGGATATCTCATTCGTTCTGTTGGTTTGTTTTTCGAGCATCAACAGCTGGCTTTAACTCTGAGAGTGAAATACGTAGAATTGGGAAGGATCATGTGCGTTTTCATCGATGCGAAACCATGCTAATGTGTTCAAGTGTTTTTCACCAGTAAAGACTTACCAATCAAACGAAGCCAAATGCGAACCTGTCAAAATAAGACGCTTAAAATAAGATGAAACTTTCTCTTGTTGTAATTCCATCGCCCTCTCTCTGTTTGTTTACTTGGGCACATTGGAAACGGGACAAGTCTTAAATGAGAAATACAAATTTAGAACTAGATGAGATGGACATCGGTACGTAGATTAAATAAAGAATTCAGTTCGAAATTCCCGATCGACAAGCCCCTGATGAAGACCGGACGGCACAATGGTCGAAACGTGTTTGATAAATATAGGAACAATAATCAGCGTGTAAATAATGTAAATATTGTGTTTTTCTCTTTCTTTCTTTCTTTCTTTTTTCTTTCTTTCTTTCTTTTTTCTTTCTTTCTTTCTTTCTTTCTTTCTTTCTTCTTCTTCTTCAATGAAGCATACAAGTAAATAATTCACATTATTCACATTGTTCGAACTGTTGTCTTCACCTTTATTACCATATTTACGACGTTTCGGTCGTTATCGCTCCGGCCTTTTTCAGATGAATGGAATTTGGAACATCACTGGAAAATACGAAAACTTAAGGAATCAGCACATATGCCAGGCCAGAAAATCTCCTCAGGTGCACAAGCATAGACATGTATACAATATGGGAATCCGTAATACGGAATGCTAGATAAAAGCAATAATAACAACAAAATTGCTATATGAGCTCTGATAAAAAATAAATAGTGAGACATTAAGTCTATAAGTCCTCAAAATGTATACACTGATGTCCTCAAGTTTACATGGCCCAGTGGATAAAAGTGTTGATAGGATCCAGTGATTTGATCCCAACACCTGGTTGCTGCAGTGGTGGAGAAATCGTTGGAGTGTTGAGATAAAGGTAACTGAGACATCAGGAAGAGGCATGGCACATGGAACTAGAACAATCTACCTCGGTGATCAAAATAAAGGGTTCAGTTTGAAATTCCAATGAACAATGTAAGTAATATAAATAATTACAATATCTCTTCTCAGAAGTACAAACAGATAAAGCAAATAATTGTTAAAGTATCTGTTGTCATAAAATGTATAATCATGTGGCAACTGGGTAAAATATTGGTATAAATCTTTAATAATCATTAAAATAATGATTTTATGAATTTATAATAATATTTATAGCAAAAAAAAAAATCTGTGTTTCAATACATTGAAAATCAGTTTCTAGCTATCCATTCAAGCCTTGACATTTTTAAAAACTCAAATGATTTATTTCTCGTTTCTCCTTATCTTTGATTTTTTTCTTTATCTTTTTGCTTTTCCTCCATCTTTAATATTTGTTTAAATTCATTTTTCGATTTCTTATGGCATTTATTTACCGATTGCAAGCATTATATAAGTATTGTTCATTTTCAATTTTTCATTCCGTTTTCTTCATATTTTTAACACTTCCGCTGTTCAAAGTGTATTTAAACGACTTTACAAATCAGATATTACCTGCTATCGATCAAGGCCAACATTCTCCAAACACAGAGCAAAATGTTGATCTCTCGCGTTTGAATTATAAACTAATTATTACTTAGTCCTATTTTTCTAAACCCGTATGCAGAGTGCGACGGATAAATTGTCGTCGATATTACCCCAAAATGAAAATAACACTGACATCTCATTTTAACAGATATATTTACCAAAAAAAAATACAATACCAATAAAAAATACTATAATATTTACGATAAAATAATAATTGAAATACTAAAGAGAAAATTTATCAATAAAATCGCCACTGGCTTCAACCTCCGACTTCGAAATCTCCTGCGACTCTTCTGGACGGTCTCCTTGTTTTAAGTTGGTGAAAGCTGCCATAATCCTCGCCTTCAGTTCATCTTTGGTGTCACAAAAGGTGTTGTTTGTCTCTCGTTCAATTCACCCTACACATAATAATCAACAGGTTGCAGGCTGGGGAGTTAGGTGGTCAGATGTAAGGAGTGATGTGGTCACAGAAATTGTCTGATGGCCATGAATAGGTTCCCCTGCTTGTGTGGCATGGTTCAGAGACCTGTTACCAGATATAGGATTTTCAGCAGTCACCCTCTTGACCCAAGACAACGATAGTTCTTCTCTTATCAGAATGATCAGTGAGTTCTTCGAGCTGCTGTACCTTCATAATCACCATGAGATTCATCCAACTCTTTCTGAAAGATTGACACCCAAACACTCCGAAATGTTCGTATTGGAGCTTCCAGGGCGAATGACAATCAGTATATCATGCCGTTTCGAAATTTCTGGCAGAGTGAATCATTTTTCTCACAATGCGCTTGCGTGAAATTGAAAATATAAAATGGCGGCAATTTACCCATCGCAGCTTGTAGTAGCGTACAATAGAACTATTTTTTTATATTGTACCTTATGAGTGTCCTTTAGCTTAGTGTGCGCTAGAGAATTTCTGATTGAAATTTCCTATTTGTCTCCAAAACGGGCCAGCACAGCCAAGAAACAATTCTGAAACAATGCGCCAGTCAAATGTTAACTTTATATTATTTATATTTCTGCCTGATAATTGCGCGTTTTATGAGCATGAAGCACTATAGCTCTACCGTTAAGACATAGAGCACTATTCTTGTATGTGTAGCTACTACTTCTTATAGAATCAATTATTATATGCATAGATATATATGTGTGTGTGTCTGTCTCACTGTGTGTGTGTCTGTCCCTGTGTGTGTGTGTCTGTGTGTTTTATTGAATAATACATACATGTTGTCTATATACTTTTAGAGGGATCCTTTCCAGTTCTCTATTCATTTTCTTGATATTAAAACAAAATTCATTAAGAAGGCACCGCAGTTTTTTCTAACCCAAATACTTTCGATATTTTCCAAGATCATCTTCAGGGGTAAATTATGACGTCTTCTTTGATAAATTTCATCTTAATATCAAGACCTGGCCTGAGATTAAACAAATACATTGAGTCAATTGCTTCGTCCACCGCAAGGAAAGTTGGTTCCTTGTGCCGCGCCAGGAAATTTTTCTCCCCGGAATCGATCCTTCAAATCTACAAACCAACCATTCGCCCTTGCATGAAGTATTGCTGCCATATATGGTCTGGACACCCTTCTGTTTACCTCGGGGTTCTTTATAAGTTCCAGAGACGGATATGCAATGTAACTGGCCCTGATCTGGCATCTCTTCTGCAGTCGCTCTCTCGCAGACGTGCCGTCGCCTCTCTCTGTCTCTTTTACAAATATTTTCTTGGTAATTGCTCCGATGAGCTGCTTTCGCTGGTTCCCAGACTTCTACGAGGCTGGCATCCCGCTTTCACCCTTACCCAGTTGAAACTGTTAAATATAGCCGTATCTTCTACTCCAATAGCTTCATATCTCGCACCTCTAGCCTATGAAACGCTCTCCCCTTTTCCTGTTTCCCTGATAGCTATAATCTCCAATTATTCAAATGTAATGTCAATCGACATCTCCAGTTGCCTTGATCTATCCACTATCCTTCTCCCCATCCTTTCCTCTATCATTCCTACCTGCTCTCGCTCCAAATCCTCTATAACCCCTTGCGTGCTAGTGGCTTCCCGCCTTGCTAGCGGTGAAATGCTTAAAAAAAAAGATACTGATTAGAAAAAATGGAAAGGAACAGTTTAAAAATAAATAAACACAATATGTCTCCATTATTCAATGAAACATGAAGATATGCTACCGAAATTTTTCACACATTCATTTTTTACAAAGGTCTTTCTTATTTTTCAGTTTTGATTGAAACCAAATTTCCGGTTTTCATTATTTCTGGAATTTTTCGTTTTAAGAGTAAAGATTTTTCTTTCCTTCTTCATTTCATTTATATTTTTTTTCTCGTGACCTTTTCTGTCGATCAATAAATTGTTTATTTGTCTACCTCTCTTAGATTTGCATTTTTCGACATTATAAGTTTTCATGCTTTCTTTCTCTTTTTTCTATCTTTCTATGTAGATCTGTTCGTATCTATCTCTCTATTTATATCCATTTATCTATCTATATTACTCAGTTCATATTTGTCTGTCGGTGTAACTATGCCTGTCCTATCTATCTATCCATCCATCTATCTATCTATCACAATCTGTTGGTATCTCTACATATCATTCAGTTTATATTTGTCAATCTAGCTAAATCTGTTCTTATCTATCTATATATTTATCTTTATATCTTCAAATTTCTTCCTTGAATTCCAGCTTTCATTTCCTTTAGCCTTTCTTTCTCAGTTTCGTATTCATTCATTCCATTTTAAAGGCTTCCCTTTCCAATGCCTATACGTGTTTCTTAACAATCCCCACCAATATCAGTGATTCAGATTGCAAAAATGGCGATTTTCAAAAAAAAAAAAGAAAAGATACAAATTAAAAACCTTAAAAAAATTATAAAAATATCTTCATTCTTGAAATCATCCAGATTCTTTGTTTCTGTTTTTAACCACTTTTAAAACATTTTTTTTCTACCAAAACATTTCTGTAAATGCTACAGTCTGCCAAAAAGAAAAGCGAAAATGAAGCACAAAGGCCTGTTCAACGGCGTTGGGGTCAAACAAAAAGTTCTATGAACGAAATGAAATATAAAAGAAAAAATATAGATAAATATAGAAGAAAAAAGAATATGAAAGGTGAATATTTCATGAAGTACGAGGAATACTATATTGAAAATAGATGGTTGAAACAGAAAAGTAAAATTTTGGTAAAGGTAACATTTGTTTTCATTTATTTTGGGAATTTTATTTATAAAGAAAAGAAGGATAGATTTCTTTCTTCCTTGTCGAATTGATCGAATTTTTTTTTTATTTTTATATTTCAGTATTTCACATCGTTTTGGAATTTTTTTTATGAGAGATTTATTGTTTTGTTACTTATTTCTTTTTGGATTACAGATTTTAGACCGGTTCAAAAATAGATACAATGAAATATACGCACCAATAGCTCTAGGCTAGTTCTGCAATAATAATAATAATAATAATAATAATACATCAAGTACTCAGAAACATACAAAACTACATACACAAATACATGTACACATATATACATACATACATATGTACACAGGGGGAATATGACCAGCACAACCGATACACACGGCTCAATTAAAATGATACACACTTATGCTCAATTAAAAAGGTAAATGAATCATAGATAGTATACCGTTATCTATAATTAAACGAATTAGTACAAATTCATTGTATAATAATAATATTTTATAAATATAAAAGTGAACATATCAATGGCTGCTATAATAAGGCTCTAAAATATATACGATATTGTGGCTATTATGGCAAAACCCAAAACTATTGCTCGTTTTATTTATTTTTTTTTTTTTTAAAAATTTTTTTTTTTTTTGAAAATTTATTTAAAACGTAGAAAAAATCAGATTTAACAGTTTTGTTTTGGTTTTAAAAATTATTTGGATATTGACTCCCATATAACCAAATGGTAAAGAAACAGAATTAAGTGATAGAGTAAATTCCATCAACATTAAAATAGTCAATTGCATTTACCATTTAACAAAATTGTGAAAATAAACTTAATATTTGCGCTATTTTCAATAAAATACACACACATGTATACTAAAATACATACTATATATACATAAAATTATAGTTATAGCTGTACAATAGAACTATATATAAAAATCATTATATATATAACCATAATGCTAATATCTTAAATAAACATGTTATATATAAAATATAAAAAATGTATTTTAGACAATAGAAAAATTAAGATAAAATATATGATGTAAATAAACAAAAACTATGTATATAATTGTCGAAACCCTCAAATATGTCATTGCCCATATATAAAATAAATGTATATGTATATAATATATTATATATATATATAATGCAATATCTCTTCGATTTAAAATCCTACATAACATAAAATATATATATATATATGTCTGTATGTCTCTGTCTGTTGTCTGTCTGTGTGTGTGTGTGTGTGTGTGTGTGTGTGTGTGTGTGTGTGCATTAGCCATGAATTCAAAAAAAGATTCAACCAACAATCAAAACTTCATTTTTTTAAATAAGAATAAATAAATATAAAAAAGAAACAAAAGAAGGAAGAAAGGAACAAACAATATATAAGGGAACTAGTAATCAAAAAAAACCTATTTTTGTTAAAAAGAATGGACATGAAACCATGATATATCTAAAAATTAAAATCAAATAAAATTTAACATATCATTTTTCTTGTTAAATGGGGAAAATAGTAAAATAAAGTTTAAGAAAAAGTAAAGTTTTAAAAATTATAGTTAAAGGAAAATTCATAATATAAAATTTGCTATTATATAATTTTAAATTGTTTAAAAGATGTCCTATCATATTATATTATATAGTTACAAGAAAAACTATATAATTAAATAAAATAATAACTTAAAACTTTATTTAAAAAATTAAAAATTTATTATTAAATTTTCAAATTAAATTAAATTCAATATATATATAATTATGTAGAAAAACGTCATTGTTATTAATTTATACAAAAAATTTTCCTATATTGTAAATAATATATAAAAAAAAAAAAAAAAAATATTTATATCGTATTCTATTTAGTCAATGGCCCAGAAAAAAGAAAAAAATTTTTAAACTGTTATTTAAAATTTAAAAATTGAAAAATTAGGACAGTAAATTTATCATCGAAAAGAAAAGAAATTATTAAAACATAAACACCGTTTAAAAAAATGTTCATGAAAGAATTAAAATAAAATGTATCCCAAAATATGGTTATTTTCGAAACAACCATCTTTTGAAAAATAGAATAAAACCCCTAATTTTATTTTACAAACACTTGAATGAATCCGATAAAACAAAATCCTTTTTATGAAAAATTCTATGAAATTAAAACTAAAGTATAGATGATGTAAGGTAATGTATGACCCATTGTTCTTTTTACATACATATGAAACTTTTATTTTATTTACTATATTCTTTTTAGGTTAAATGTATTAGAATCATATAACATTTAAAATAAACCTAATTTAATTAATTAATACATAAAGTTTACTAAATCTTAGGAAATTAATTTTATTTTAATATTTGTTTTGTTCTTTTCCAAGTAGTCTGTGCCCATTTATAAATATTAAATATTTAAATATAATAGTTTAAAAATTGTAATTTTATTACTATATATTTTGTTATGGAAAATAATTATACTTTTACTATGAGTAAATATCCTTCTGTTATAAAGTAATATAGTCAATTAAAACTAACAATGAAAATATTTTAAAATTTTAATGTGGTAATTTTAAAATTGTAATTAAAATTGTAGTTAAATAAAATGAATTCTAACCTGTTCTTGGTACATACATATGAAACTTTACTACTTAGGTTACATATATTTAAAATAAATAAATAAATTAAGTAATAAATAAAGTTTACTAAATCCGAGAAATGACTTGGCTAATTTTGTAGTAAGTTCCATTAATATTACTAAAATAATATTTTAAAATATAAAGGTTTAAAATTGTAATTTACATATACTTGGATATTGAAAAATAATTTTACTTACTATGAGTAATATTCCTTCTGTTATAAAGTAATATAGTCTAATATAACTAACAATGAAAATATTTCAAAAGTTTAAAGTTTGTAATTTTAAAATTGAAACTAAAATTAAAGTTAAATTGAATGAATTCTAACCTAAATTTCTTTTAAATAATACTACACGCACTAAAAAGAATCCCAAAAAAGCAAATATAGTAAAATAAAATTAATATGAAATGCCATAAGATGTAAGCTTTTGAATGACCCATGTCCTTTGTACTTACATGAGAAACATTATATCACTAGGTTTATATATATATAAAAAAAAAAAAAAAAAATGTAACCTCATATACATACTTAAACTTGAATTAATACATAAAGTTTACTAATTCTGAGAAATGACTTAGATAGTTTTGTAGTCTGGGCCATTAATATTACTTAAATAATATCTAAATTAAAAGTTTAAAAATTGTAATTTACATATACTTTGATATGAAAAAAAAATTTTACTTACTATGAGTAATTATCCTTCTGTTATAAAGTAATATAGTCTAAATTAAAAGTAACAATGAAAATATTTTAAAATTTTAAAGTTATAATTTAAAATTGAAATTAAAATTGTAGTAAAATAAAATGAATTCTAACATGTTATTTATACATACATATGAAACTTTATTAATTGGGTTACATATATTTGAAATAAATAAATTAATTAATTAATAAATAAATAAAGTTTACTAAATCTGAGAAATGACTTAGCTAGTTTTGTAGTAAGTGCCATTAATATTACTTAAATAATATTTAAATTTGAAAAAAAAAAAAAAAAAAAAAAAAAATTTACATATACTTTGATATGGAAAAATAATCTTACTTAATATGAGTAATTTTCCTTCTGTTATAAAGTAATATAGTCTATTAAAACTAAACAATGAAAATATTTTAAAATTTTAAAGTTGTAATTTTGAATTTGTAATTAAAATTGTAGTTAAATTGAATGAATTCTAACCTAAATTTCTTTTAAATAATACTACACGCATTAAAAAGAATCCAAAAATAACACCTATAGTAAAATAAAATAAAAATAAAATTAATATGAAATACCATAACATGTAAGCTTTTGAATGACCCATGTCCTCAGTACTTACATGTGAAATATTATAATAATAGGTTTATATATAAAAGAAAAGTTTACTGAATCAGTGAAATTAAGTAACCATTTCTGCTGTCATAGTCATATACAAAAAAAAAAAAAAAAAAAAAAACCTCATATACATACTTAAACTTAATGTTAAAATAATCCTACATAATATAATGGATTCTAATACATTTAACTGTTCTTAAAAAGAATATAGTAAAATAAAAATTAAAAAGGAAAATATTTCAAATCGTAGTTAAATAAAAGTATTGTAAAAAAAAAAATCTTTAATTTTAAAAGATGACGTTGAAAATTTTTACCGTTAACAATTTTTTTTTTTTTTTTTTTTTTAAATTCAGACGACATCCATTCAACCGACGTCAGGTTTCAGTGTAAAAATACATCCTCACCCCTTACCAAAATGTAGCTAATAACTGATACAATGATACTGTCATAAGGAAAATCTAGACACCCTGTGTTCAATTTGAGTAGAATATTATGTAACCATGGAAACGTGATTTTAGCTGTGTATTTAAAACCCGGTAAATTTTAAAAGTTACTCCAAAATTCGCTTGAAGATGAAATGGAACTAAAGCTTTTAATTTATTTGCAAAAAAAAATTAGGGTTTTAGCTTCTATTTTTGAAACATGGTTGGAACTGTGTAGCGAAAATAACCATATTT